ATAATAAGACGAGGGAAAAAGAAGGAAGGAAGAAAAGAAAGAAAGAAAGAGTAGGGAAAAGAGAACGGGGATGACGAACAGGTAGGGTCAGTAGCAACATGATACTCATCAAATAGAAATCATGGGCGACGAGCCCAGAATCGGCCTGATGGTCCTGTCGATTGAGAAGGGCTGCAGGTGGGCCAACAACCAGCAGCCCTGTTTGAAAGTGTCCGTGTTTCTACTTATTTTTATTTTTATTTGGTTTTTCCGTTTTTATTTTTTTTATTTTTTATTTCTTAATTGTTTTATTCTTTTTTTTCGATCTAGTTTTAGCAGGTTAAGTTACTTACGATGGCCCTCCTACTAAGAATTACTCCATACTAAATTGGGTATTAATTAGTAGCTGCGACAGTTTTGGGTGTGGGTGCGGAGAAGGTGGATTAGGGGCCGGCGAACAAATTAATTAATTGGAGGAGGCAGAGGAGGGGGGGAAAGAGGAACAAGAGAGAGAGAGAGAGGGACAATCGGAAAGCTGGAGCCAACCCAAGGATGCATCCTACGGTTAACTATGGATGTGCAATAAAGCGATGATTCTTCAAAATGACACAACTAAGTAATAAAACCAACCCAAGCTAGCCGAGAAAACCTCAAGACGAATGGATCGTACACAAGACATCGAATGAGAAAAGGGAAAAGAGCAGTGAAAGGGTAAGTAAAAGAGGGTCTCAATGTCTGATGCCCATTCAGTCTCATTCCCCCTCCCCCCTCCCACTCAGGCCCGAAAAAATGGGCCTGTACATCCGAAAGGTTCTGGCTTCGCGGGAAAGCTCCATCAAAGGAAAGATTCGCTGTGTACGGTATTGTCAATACCTGAAACTCCTGGCCACTTACTAAGTACTACGACCTGTTCGCTACGGAGAACGGACACTAGCCGGCGGTCTAGTCCAGGTCTTAGATCTTTGAGAGACGGCTTAATGTGCTTAGATGACGAAGCAGATTAAAGTTGATAGATAGCCGACTAGTAAACTCATTCATTCGCTTGAATAGTTCGAGAAAAGTCGGTATTTGATCCATCTTGTGGCCACATCCTGGCCTTCCCTGTATGTAAATTGTAAACAGAGATAACAGCCCCAGGGGGGGATCAGACTGGCAAAAGTTGAAGATCTATCTACTATCTAGATCACCATTTACTGCCGATCCCACCGATTAGTGGCCGGCTTTCCCGCAGTCTGCATTTAGTGAGGCAGAAGGAAGGGCTATATGGTGAAGGGAAAGACCTATCCGCTGCGAGGCATGCTAGCGCCTTATCAGTCTTCGGATCAGGAGACGTTCTAGAGAAGAAAATTTCTTCTAGATCGTTTGACACAAGGGAAGGAAAGGGAAATGCAAAGGGCACAGAGTTTGATTACATGATCCGGCCGTTCATTCCCTGGGTTGTGTACCATGGGACTCGGTCTCATGCGCCAGTCTTTGTTTGATTACTCTTCTCAAGCCCGTGGTCGTCCAATCTTCTCAGGGAAGAAAGATATTAGTTGAGGGATTTCCTTCGTCGAAATTTCCCTTGTTCGTTTTGCAAATGGCAATGTCTACATTGGGTCCTGTTCTTCTGGCAAATGTATAGGATCATTGATAATCATGTTCCCTTTCTGATATGCTTGTGCTCAATGCTTAACCCATCATCATCCTTGTGCCTCACGTATTGGGTGCGTACTGCATACAACTTACATACACAATACAGTAATCTATTGTCTGATGCTTCTAAACCAGCCGATGAAGTTCCTGTCTTATTGCTCGAGTCAGTTACTGCATGGAAGAGTACTTTTCTTTCCATGAAGACGTAACAGATAATAGCATACAATCTACGATGTTGAATCAGAAAATACCTACTATTGCTACTATCAATTTGTCCATCCCTGAAAGGTAGGTGGCAGCTTTGCGTATAGGAGATGTGACTCCTCTCATGAGATGATTGGAGGAAGTGGATATCCCCCGTGATCATCCGTCTTCTCCCTCCTGGATGAAAAGTGCACTCGTCTCTGCCTTTCCCATCCGTTTGACAGTGGCACCGTGGGAGCAAGGGAGGAGGAAAGGGGTCATATCTGCCATGTCGGTGAGTCGGAATAACTACATCGAGCCAGTCCCAACGACACGAGCATGCCTTTATAGGTGTATTTGAGTGGGACATAATACATAAAAGTGCCTATTGTGACACCTGAACGAGCCATACTATTGGCCTGCTGTAGGTCTAGTAGATTAAGTACTACTACCTGCGGAAAGTCCTCATAAGGTAGAAAGGATATGTGCCGCGCCTTATCAGCCTATCCCGAACCAGCCGACCTGCTGCCAATGTGTCTTTATCATACACGAAGTGTGAATTTTGTTCCACACACCAACCAACTGCACAACCCATGTAGATTCGTTGGTTTGCATAATCATTGACAAGTCTGCCTTATTTTTTCCAGTGCCGTAAGTACGGCTGACAGTGACTTGGATTTTTCCGATTGTCCTTCAGTCTTCAGAGATGAACCACTACTGGTTAAATTGATCCGAAGCAGCAGATTATGCCTGCGGGACGCATAGTAGTCGACTCTATTGCTTCTGCTCTGGTATGTAGCATGCATCTGTCAATATCCCGTTCGCATGTCACCGCCTGCAATAATAATCATGACGTACCTGCTTCGCTCCACTAGGCCCGGTCTTGGGTGGTCGTGGAAGAGTCTAATTTAGTTTAGAGTGCTCCGTGGATGGATATACTTTGTACTCATACGTGACACTAGTACGGAGCATCGTGTTGCAATCTGAATGGACTAGTAACCTCGACTGCTTTCAACAAGTCCCGTCCTTCTTACCGGCACTGCTAGAGAGACCATCGCCGACCCGGACTAACAAAGGACGTCCTTTGAGATAGGACAGGTGCCCTTACCACTACACCGCTTATTTCACAGCCGTGGGCAATTGGGCGTCCTTGCAGTTAGGATGAAAAGTACCACGGACTGATTTGCATGATATAATTATACGGGGCAATCGGCAGTTTCATGCAGCGACATTCTACATTCTGTTCGTCTACGGAGTACTCTTTTCTCGATACTTCACCCCTTCCTCCGGGGGAGGCGTTTGCAAAACCAGGGCTTCGGGACTTGGATCAGGTACCAACAGACAGAGACAGGAGACGGAACTGTCTGTCAACATGCTTTGCATGCCTACCAGGCCCTGTGGTTTTCAGCCAGCCTGTAGCAGAAAAGAAAACTGAACCCCCCAGACTCCGCAAGGCGAGAGAGGCTGACGCGGTGGGGACGCAATCAATTGCGATTGATTGACCACCGTCGGGAATGCTGGTTCTTGGTACTACTACTTGCTAGAGCCTAGCGGCGACCTTTCTAGACCGCCGTCGTTCCAAGGATCTGGCTCAGCTTCCCCCATCCTTGTCCGTGCGAGCACCGTGGCTACGATAGTTGAACACAACCTCATTATGATTTCTATTCTTATCCGGCGGTGTCTTCAGGAACAAGGGATCGACGGGAATTCAGTTTGATTGGATAGATTTTCTTTCCTTTTCCAACCCAGTCTCGTCCGCAATCCGGATCCGAGTTCCAGCATTAGCGAACAACGTCGTTTTCACTTTCCGTTTGAAAATGAAGGCATGGTGAGTGGAGAGAGAGAGGAAGAAAAAGAGAAAGGAAAGAAAAAAGAAGAAAAAAATGAGTGGGGCACACGGATCCGAATCTACCCAAGTGGTCCTCTCTTGTGTAAGTGTATCTCCCTCTCAGACTCAATCAGTCTTACGCCTTCACCCTTGCTAGTACGATACATCTTCCCGGTCGCAATAATGCAATGGTAATGAGTTAATCCAATTTCAACCACTGACGGAGGAGCTGGTCACCCGACGGCCCGCCGGATGTCGCCTTCTTGCATCCGCCATCCCTTTGACGGACACGCCAGGCTCTGTTCTGCCGCCTGCAATGTAGTCTTTTAAGGTTTACACATCCTACGGCTGAAGAGTGTAGAGCTCCTTAGCTCGGTTAACTCGTGATGTATCGGTTTTTTCATTGAGGTCATGAAAAGGAAAAATCTTTCCGTGCACCAACCAGTTAAACTATGAACCGCCGCACAAGAGTTGGCAAAGATCGGCGGTCGCTTACAGATCTTCCCTTCGAGAAGCGAGCATTACTGATCCGATGCCGCCAATGACCAGTGGGATTGTGGTAGCCTATATGGAGCAAGGGATCCTTTTATAATCCGCTTCTATTGACGGTTTTCTGTCAGAACGTGTGACCCGCGCTCCCAAGAATTTATTCTTGAGAGTTGCCTGTAGATAGCCGCCTTACCCTGACGATCTACGTTCCCAGAACTCGTTTCAGGAGGAGCTTCGCTCTGAAAGTTTGAGTGAACAATAGTCCAACGAAGCCGATAGTTTCGAATAGTTCGACGACGCAGGCAAGAAGCTAAATAGAGTTCGACTTCAAACAGAAGCAGTGGTTCTGTTGCCTTACCAGGCTTCCCATTAAGGAACGTCTCCTATCGAGCTACCGCTTGGAAGGTTCGATTATTGACCGTTGTTCTCGGGATATGCGCTGGCGAGTGGAGAATTGTTTCACTCCCAAACATGGCGCCCCATGTTCTTCGATCGCTTGCGGGTTTCGACTCGGCTTCTCTAGGTCATCTCTAAGGGGTTGGTTTTCGTTCATGCTGGCGCATGATCCTGAGTAAAGAAGCAGTGGCTCTAGGTTCTTGGGCCCTGGCAAACGGACATGGCAGAATGAGCAAACAGCAAAGTAAGTAGGGGTATCCGTAGCAATTTCGGTATTGGTTGACTGGTTGCAGAAGGTCGGTAAGGACGGCTGCTCCCGTGATCCCCGGCTGTCGCGTTGCCGGAGCGCGTCTCAGCGCGCTTCCCTTTTGGGGCATATCACAACACCTGGCCGCCATACCAAATGTAATGATCAGACTACCCATCCATGTGAGGCAGACAGTCGCTTGCATTGAGCGAACTGGTCCGGATTGATTCAAGTCTTTTCCTAATGGGAAAGAAGAGGAAGAGACCCATTAAGGGTGACCGTGCGCTGGACAGGTTGTCGCAGCCATGCACCTCTCCAGCATCCACTTGTTTCAAGGGACAGCGCAGCCTGGCTCGTGATGATGTTGCAGGGCACTCCCATCCAGTCATCTCACTATACTATTCTCAGGTTTTAACGCTGAGACAGTACCTTCTACGCCAAATACCCCTATCCTCCAAATCCCGCCGTCGGAGAATTGTGTCAATTCGTCATGGGCAGGCTCCTGTCGAGACCAATGACGATGGTGGCTCAGGACAACTTGCTAGTTTCCTTGATACGACGCTGATAGGCATATTGACCGACTCGCATCCGACATGCAACGAAAAGCGCCGGCAAGAGCTAGCTGCATTTACGCAGTCGCAGTCCAGATCTGAACAAACCAGCACGGACACTGGACCAGCATGTGCTCAGGCAGAGGTACAATCCACTTTTCTGGATTGGCTCGATAGGTACTGACGGTACACCATAGCTTGTAGATTTCGTCATATCCTCTCTGTTCAGTCGTGACAAATTCTCCCGTCAAAGGCCCCTTCATCTATTGACCCGGGGCTTCAGACGTGAGAGCGTGCATCCTGCTCATAGGAAGCGAACGATCTCATGCAGTATTCCAGGCCTCGAGGTGCAGTTCCCTAATGACAGTGTTCAGCAACTGAAGCGGGCGCCATGGACAGAAGTGCTTGGCTTGTTGGGAGACAACGGAGAAGAGATCATGCTAAACCTTCTCCTGGATTGTGGAATATTTGTGGCCGTTGATCAGCAAAGGGGAATTTATTTCCAATTAAGTGGTAAGCCAGCTCCATAGGGAGTACAGTACACCACTAAGATGGCAATCTAGGGCTCCCTCTATCGACGCTTGAACCTGTAAACAAGGTGCCCCAAAGCCATTTGGCTCCAAAAAGTGCACTTTCCTCTGTGACAAGCAAGCCTGTACCAGCGTCTGATCTCAAGGAGACGAAAATGAATACAAGCACATCTGACTGCAAGCCGACCACACAGAAGCCAGCTCCTGTTGTCTTCCATCGCCGACGTATTCTGTATGCTTCTCCAGTGCTTGATTCGAAAGGAAAGATACAGTTTGGGATGAGGAGTCGTGAGTCAGGCCAAGATCAATAGTTTGGCCCCTTGGCTAACATTGCAGATGTTCTGAACCGTTTCCCTTCTTCCACATCGCTCGCGCACACTACTCATGTGTTGAAATACATATTTCCCAAACAGTTTGGCTTGCACAATGTCTTCTCGAGCGTGTCAAATGGGCAAGACATATTCAAAGATTATGCTTATCGCGAAGATGAGATTGCAAAGTTAGAGAAGGCAAAGCGAGCCCATCCAAACTCAGAAAGCATGATCCCAAGACGACTTCAAAGCAAGGCTGTAGAATTGGTCCAGCAGTTGCAGAACCGGAATAAGCACTGTTCCTATGTGCATTTGCTCAATTATTATTGTCCTGCAGAGGTATGCTCGCAGAATTACTGATAAAATTGTCGGCTGATGCTAATAATGTAGCGTATTGGACCGTGGAAACTCGGCCCTGAGCCGTTCGATGATAACAAGCTGTCAGCATCAGAGTCTTTGATCACTCAACCACGACTTTCCTGCCAGCAGGCATCTTCTTCAATTCCGGATGGTAGTCCCTCGGTAGATCCAAATATCAGCGACATGCCAAAAATACAAGCACCGAAGATCAGCTTGACCGACTACGCGACGCCTGCCTCATCTGTCTCCGCCTTCTGCAGAGCTGTCTTGAAGAACCTGATTCCCCCTCAATTCTACGGAACTGGTCAGAACAGAATTCTGCATCAAGAGAAGATCTTGAAGCATGTCGATCAATTCGTGCAAATGCGGCGTTTCGAAAACCTGAGTCTTCAGGATGTATGCCAGGGAATCAAGGTTCATTGACAATTACAACCACATTGTTGTCTTCCAATACTAACTGCGTATCTTCAGGTCACTTGTTTACCTTGGCTTGAGCCTCCTTCCAATACAAGACAAGCATTCAATCCCTTACCACACAAGCTGTCGAGGTCCGACTTCGAGAAGCGAACGGAGCTACTTCATGAGTTTGTGTACTACCTGTTCGACTCAATCCTAATACCACTCATCCGTGCCAACTTCTATGTCACCGAGTCTCAGTCTGGTCGAAACCGTTTGTTCTATTTCCGGCACGACGTTTGGTATCAGCTGACTGAAAGACCGATACTTGAGCTCAAGGCTGGCGTTTTCGAAGAGTTGGAGCCAGCCACAGCCCAGCGTGTGGTAGAGAAGAGATTAGAGAAGAGCGGTATGGGATATGGCTCCTTACGACTCTTACCTAAATCAACGGGCATTCGCCCTCTCTTAAATCTCAAGCGAAAACCGGTACTAGCGGGCCACGCAAAATCCGGTAAATTCTGGAGTGTCAATTCGGTTGTTGCCCCGATTCATAGCATGCTCCAGTACGAGAAGACACGAGCGCCGTCCAAACTAGGCTCGTGTGTGCAGTCAGTTGGGGAGATTTATTCCCAATTGAAGAACTTCAAAAGATACCTACAGAATCAGGGCTCAGTGCCTCCATTGTACTTTGTCAAACTCGATATCCAGTCTTGCTTTGATACAATCCCTCAGCAAAGCCTGGTCCATCTTATTGAAAGGTTGATCACTGAAGCCGCCTACCATTATACCAAGCACGTCGAAATGACGCCGTCTGATGAGTTCAACATCCTGTGGCCATCGCACGAACGACCAAGCAAGGCTAGGCGGCGATTTGTCGGTAGAGCAGCCCCTGCTGCAAGGCCACAGCACCTGGCAGAGGCGGTGACCAACGGCGAGACCAGCCAGAGGCGAAACACCGTCTTTGTCGACACGCTCATGCAGAGAGAATTCAATGCGGAAGATTTACTCGACCTCCTCGATGACCACGTGCGAAACAATCTAATTAAGTTCGGGCGGAATTACTTTCGGCAATGCAATGGCATTCCCCAGGGCTCAGTGTTATCGAGCATGCTGTGTAACCTATTCTATGCAGACATGGAGCAGCAAGTACTTGGATTCCTGCAGTCCGACAATGCTTTACTGGTTCGCTTAGTTGACGACTTCCTACTCGTCACCACCGAGTCCTCACTGGCTATGCGTTTTCTCCAGGTGATGATCCCCGGGCAGCCTGCCTATGGCGTCTCAGTCAATCCAGCCAAAAGCCTGGTCAACTTCGCCGCCGCTGTGGAGGGGATTCAGGTCCCGCGTCTCGTGGATACTCGGCTCTTCCCTTACTGTGGATGTCTGATCGATACCCGTTCTTTAGAGATCTACAAGGATCATGAGCGCAATCTGGAAGGGGGGCAATCCGTCGCCACTAGTCTCTCGAACTCGCTCACGGTCGAGCTGACGCGAGTACCGGGCCGGAATCTTCACCGCAAACTGCTGGGGTCCTTCAAGCTGCTCATGCATCCCATGTACTTGGATCGGCAACACAACACGATTGGGGTGATCCTGTCGAACCTGTATGCAAACTTCGTCATATCGGGAATGAAGATGTACCGATACTTGAAGTCATCCGGGCAGATGCACCCAGCCCCCGAGGTGGTGATTCGAATCATTCGAGACATGATACACCTAGCCACGCGCATGGTCCAAGCCCGACGTGAGGCGAACGTACCAGCCGCAGCTGGTCGCGGGGTGCATCAGTGCGAGGTTGAATACCTGGCTGCCGCGGCCTTCCGGTTCGTGCTGGGACGCAAGCAAGCCCGATACGCGCGGGTGTTGGGCTGGCTGGATGTCATTCTCCGAGAGAGCCAGCCCAATTCCCAGACCCAGGCCTGGCAGCTGGGGCAGGTGGTGCGAACCGGCAATGCGACATATGGCGGCTGGAAGTTCTAGAGAGTAGAGACTAGAGACAGCAGATGACCGAGAGTGGGAGGCTAGACCCCCTTGCTGAATGTAGATAGGCTGGGAAAGAAGATGCCGATGAGCAAGAGTCCAGACTAGCATAGAGTCGACCTGCAGAGTGCAAGCACAGCAACAACAAGAACCGGGAGCGGGTGATGTAATCTGGATGCGGTGGCCTTGGAAGGATGAGAACGGGCATGACGACAGGATTACTCTGTACTACGTATCGAACTGGAAACAGCACACACACAAACACTCCCCGATGCGGGTGGCGTCCGATCTCAAAGCCCACTCAGTTCGGAGTTGAACGGAGGGGGGAAAGTGCACAGAAAAGCCTGATGCAGGAATTGTAGCCAATGAATCTTACGGTATAGGGTGCAAAGGGCAGGACAGTTCCTGAGATTCGATCAAGAAACCTGGTTCCGAACGATTTAGTGTCGTGGGGTGGAGGCAGATTGGCCGAGGAGGTTTTTCTGGCTGCGATCGGGCACTTACCGCGACCGTAAGTAAGTAACTAAGTATGGACGGTGTACCCAGTACGGAGTAGTTTACCCTCACTAACTACGCCCTAATCAGTTAGCACCCATTTCATCTAATTAGCAGCTAGTATTGCTACATGCTAGTGACTAAGGGAGAACTCCAGTCCGGAGACCCGCGGCTCGTCGGCCGGGCAAAAAAACAAAGACGGGCAGGGCAGCACACATACCACGGATCTGGTGGCCATGGACAACGGAGAATTGGATCAGGGGGTGAGAGATCTAAAGGGAGGATCCTGAAGGGAGAGGAGGAAGAGAACCTTGGAAAAGGGGGAGGCAAAATAGTTGGGCGGGTGTGGTTGCCCATCAACGGTAAATTGTCAACAAAAAGGAATGAAGTTCAATACAAGTCTTTCCAAGGTCATGAGGATTTATCCAGGGTATAGACTAGCTACTAGTATCTAGTGACTGTGTGCAGCTTTCAGTTCTCTCCGTCTCTCTTCTTCTTTTTTTTTTCTCTCCTGGGCAATTAATAACCGGGTGGAAACCCAGTTAGTATCAGCCTTCATTTCGGCTGTGGCGGTGCGGGTAATGCTTTAGTAAACTTGCAAACCAACACTATACCACTCCGAGGTGACTTACCCACGACTACTTCGACTAATTGGATTGAACTCGACTAACGGGACTAACTGGAACCGTTTCCTGGTGAGAAGAATATCCACCCTCATTTCACGGTCATTATCGTCCCTCCATTAATCCGTGCGCTGTTCGAGGCAGACATCCTTCTGGAAGAGACAGCCAATGATCGCCAGTCCATCGCCATCTAGTGCCTCCAGTGGGATTGGCCAGACCTTGTCCAGAACTGCCGTCTGGTTACTCGTTTGCAGCCAGCTTCTCTTCTCTTTGCTGGTCTGATTGCATCCATCCTTAGTACCAACTACGACTAGTACGTAGTATTACTGTATCCCCATCCTAATCTTATCCCCATCTCCATCCCATCCCATCCCATCCCATCCCCCTTCTCCTCCTCCTCTTCTTATTCCTTCTCTTCTGCTTTCATTCATCCTCCTCCACCTTCTTTTTCCCCATTCATTCCACCTCTCAAAATATCACTCGCTCTTCTTTTCTCTCTCATCCTCATACTACTTTCGTTTCTTTTTCTTTTTTTCTTAATATCTCCCTACATTCCAGTCTTTCGCTTTAGTCTAGTCTAGTCTATCGTTTCCCAACCCATCTCCTCCTCCGCGCTGCTTGTCTCATCTGCCTCTTGTCTCGGTTTTTGTCGGGGATCGTTTCATCTCTCTCCGTCCCCTTCCCCCTTCGGCTCCGGCCCCCAAATGCACTGCTCGCTGCACGATTAACTCCTGAATCCCTTGAGTGCATAGTAAGAGGAGGACAAGAATAATACGAAACCAAATTCAAAAAGAAAAACAGCCTCGCCCCCGACCATCTTCTGATCCGCCACTTGTTCTGCCGCTTCCGTTGCATGCAGCATCTTGCTTGGGGTTCTTCCGTCACACACCTATTAATTAATACCATCCGGAGATCATCCCACCTCTTCACCCCCGTCTTTCGTTCGATAACGGCTTATTTTCTTTGTCTTTAATTCGCGACCCCATCGGACGTGTTTACATCGTCTTCCGTCTCGTCCTGGTATACGCAGCTGCTTAACGGTCATCCCCTGAGGTTCTTCCCTTACTCTGATCTGGGAAGAGTCTCGAACTCTGCAGCTTTCCCGCCGAAATGACAACCGTTTGTACGACCACCCCGAATTCCCCTCCTGACCTCTCCGGGTCCAAGTCCTCCAAGTCTTCCTCCTTTCGTTCCTCCTCGCAACACTCCGGCCCCGAGGCCATCTTCACTGATATCTCCAATTTCGAAGAAGTGGACCTCCAGGATGATGTACATGTCTCCTACACCAAGGGTGCAACCCCGTACGTCCAAAATGCTGGAATCACACGAGCTTCAGCGGCCATCATGCAGAAATCGGCGGTTGCGACAACACGCGATCTGACCGCCACGAAAACAAAGACACCCTACCCTACCGCAAAGCAGGTCAATGGCACCTTGGCTCAGCCGGGCCGTGGTCCCAAGCACCGCCCCGGCAATCAGCGGGATCCAGCCTCCACCAAGCAATCCGCCCTCCAAGTCACGAAGCCGCATCGTTCGCGTTCCTCCTCTCCACTGCGACCGACATCGAGCTTGAGCTCGTCGCCGTCTACCCACAGCCTGTCCCTGACCCCCGTCAATACCCACACCCTCAACCGGAAACCCTCGTGGCAGCGACCGCGCAAAACCGTGCAGGATTTGGAGGATGAATACCATGACTCTGATGAAGAATTACCCGAGGATGCGAGTCTGTGGAATGTTCCCATCTCCCCGCGGCCGGTGCAGGATCGAGCGCCGTCCCGGGCCTCCAGCCCCAACGGTCGCAGTCCAGGCCCTCGACCCCTGCCGCTGTCGCATTCGGTATCCGATGTCACTGTGCCCCGGTCGCCTTCCGGTTCGCGATCTCCCACGACCCGCAACAATCGTTCCAGCTCTGCAGGGCCTGAGCGCGGCCAGATCTCGCCCCGCAACCCGCGAGCATACTCGTACAACAACATGATGTCGGATTTGTCGGAAGAAGCCAAGATCATTACGGAAGCTTTGGAGTTCCACGCCGATGAGCGCCAGCGCCAGCGGGGAGAGCGCCTGCAAAGCGGGCTGTCCTCTCTCCGCTCGAGCGAGGAGTCCAAGCGTGGGTCCAAGAGCACCATTGAGCTGCCCCCGTTGCAGAAATCCAACATCATGATTGATCCGTTACCTCCCAGCAAGGAGAAGGAGAAGGTCCTGACCCGGACGCGGCCCAGCTGGCTGCCTCCGAAGGACCAGAAGGAGGAGAAGCGGCATTTGAAGGAATACAAGCGGATGATGGCGCAGGCCAAGGAAGCAGGTATGTGACTTGTCTCGTTGGGGATCTTCAACGACTGACCGTTATAGACAAACGCCGTGCGGCGAAGGCTGCTTCCGCGAAATGCGAAAAAGACAACACTCGCGAGACTCTGCAGCAGATCTGGGACGAGTACGTCTACCCGAATTGGGATAATGTCATTAATGAAACCCGCACGCGGGAGTTATGGTGGCGCGGAGTGCCGCCTCGGATCCGGGGCTCGACCTGGCAGCGTGCCATCGGCAATGAGCTGGCTCTCTCCGAGGAAACATACAAAAAGGCCTTGCAGCGCGCCAAGGACGTGCGGGCGCGGCCCGAGGGCGATTCTGGGGAGACCAACAAGCGCATGAGGGATTGGTTCGAGGCGATTGACGCTGATGCGTCCAAGGCGTTCCCTGATCTGAACTTGTTTCAAGTCGGCGGTCCGCTGCGCGAGACGTTGATCGATGTGTTGCAGGCGTACTCGATGTATCGCAGCGACGTGGGCTATGTCAGTGGCTTACATGTGAGTTCTCTTTCATGCCATCAATGATTCATCACTGACAATTCTAGACCATCGCTGCCCTCCTTGTTTTGCAATTCCCATCGCCATCGTCGGCGTTCCTGGCCATGGCCAACGCGCTCAACCGGCCGCTCCCTGTTGCTTTTCTTACATTGGACCGCGGGGCGATCGGTCGTACATATTCACTGGCGTCTGCGACGCTGAAATACAAATTCCCGCGTTTGATGACGCATCTGCACGAGACGCTTCGACTCAGCGACGAAGAGATCTGGGAGCCGATGTTCCGGTCGCTGCTGACGAACGGGCTGGACTTGGAGCGTCTCAGCCGGGTCTGGGACTGCTGGGTGTTTGAAGGAGACCGGATCATGATCCGGGCGGCCGTTGCGATCCTCGGATGCTTGCAGCCCCAGCTGTTTGGGTACACCAAGCCGGACGACCAGAGTCGCAAGGCGGTGCAGGACATACTCAGCTGGGGACCGCGACAGGGGGGGACTCGGACGCAGGAGCGACACAGTGCCCCGGCCGCGACAGGGTTCGGAGGGGGGCAGCTGGCGTCTGGCATGGGCGATTACTGGATGTTGGGCTCGGCGGGTGACGAGGACGGATTTATGCATGAAGTGCGCGAGGCAGGCAAGGTGCGGTGATGCTGCTGCTGCTGCTGCTGTCTCGCAGTCACAATTTAGATAATTATCTTCTTTTCTTCGATGAACATATTACTATGGCAGGGTAATTCGCTGGTCGGTGATTTGATGGACTGGATGGTGTATGATATTCAGTATTGATAGAGCTACCACTATTTCAGCAGCTTACAGCTTACAGCTTACCTAGAATGATGCATTGCATGCAGATAGTAGACAAACTAAACCAAACTAGACTAAACCACTGGTTCTGGTTCAGTCCAGTTCCGTCCCGCGGTTCACCAAACCCCATATTTGGTCTGGATTGTCGTGGCGCGGGGTTGTCTACTAACTAGAAAATAGGATTGATTGATTGGCGATGGAAATCCCTCATCTACATCGGTTGGGACTGGCGGTGACGGTAGCATGCTTGTGACCCTTGCTTGATGCTGTGCAGGTGGCAGTAGCAGGTACACTTAGTTTCTGTCTAATAACTTAGCTATATGTATGTTGTACGACATACATAGTAGAAGTAGTCTGGCAGTCTACGTAAGTGGTGATGAGATGTCATCATACCCTATCTACTCTCCTACGTTAGTAGTGAGTAGTTTACTGCCTTGGAGTAAGTGGATGATGGTGTGAAGTGAGTAAGGTGAGTGAGTGAGTGATCCTTCGCGCGGCGAGGGATTAAGTTGGACGTGCTGGGACCATACATTTACTCACTAGCTAGTTAAGGGTTGTCTGTCAGGAGGTAGAACCAGAACCACTACTCTCCGCACTCTCTGACTGATCGACAATTGCCGCATACTTTCTGTCCTTGTAGTACTAGTAGTAGGAGAGGTATATACATGATGGTCCCCTGTTACTACTTCACTTCTAGTTTACCCTATTTCATCTCTACATAGTATACTAGTACTACTCTATACTAAGAAGGGAGAGAAAATGCCATCAACAATAGCAATCGCCAAAAACTACTTGTGTTTCAAACTCCCCTTCTCGGAGTACTCGTTCTCGTTTCCTTCGGTTCCTTTTTCATGGCATACACATACACATACACATAGCACTGCTATCCTCTCAGAAGCAAATACAGATACAACCACCATATCAGAAGAAAGCCCTCTCCTTCCTCACCACCACCACCAACAACAACAGAATAACCCCCAATCCCTCAAAGAAAAATACGGCACCTGCACCACCATCCTCCACTACGGCACATCCAGCTCCGTTCGTCTTTACACTATCACCTCAAGAGACACCACCACCACCACCACCACCACCACCAACAAGAAACAAAAAAAAATCCATGTGATCAAAACCCTCCGCCCAACACCCTCCTCCACAAAACAAACCCTAAAATCCACCCTCGAGTCCCTCCTCTCATCAACACTCTACCATCCACATCTCCTGCACACAATCGACATCATCCCCAACTCGCGCGGAGAAACATGTCTGGTAAGTGAGTATTGCGAATTAGGTGATTTGGGGACGTATATCTCTACTTCCAACGGAGGAAGTTCAGGGGATAGTGTTATGGGTGTTACAGAAGCTGATAAGATTCTATATCAAATAATGAGCGCAGTGGAGTTCTTGCATGAGATGGGGGTGGTTCATGGGTGTGTTTGCGTGGAGAATGTTTTTCTCTCCCACTCTTACTATTCTGATGGGGTTTGTGTCAAGTTGGGGGATTTGGGGGATGCGAGGGTTTTGGATTCTCAACTCTCTCATGACCATGACCATGTTGGGGTGAAAGGTGGTGATGGTGGTGGTGGTGATGGGTACTACGCTGCTTGGAAAGAGGATGTATATCCCCTTGTTAGGGGATTATCGATGGGGATAGGGAAGTTTGAGGAGTTGGAGGGAAGATGTGATAGGAGGAAGAGGGTTAATCCTTATGCTGCGCCGGAGGTACTATCTCCTTCTTCTCCTTCTTCTCACACTTCGGCTTACTCTTCGGCTTATCGTCGACGGGGGTATGAAACTTCCAGTGGGATAGTAGGGGATGATCCCCGGGCTGTGGATATCTGGGCTGTCGGGATTATATACCTTGTCCTACGACTGGGGAGGATTCTCTGGCGGAGTGCGAGTGAGGAGGAGGATGGGCGGTATGCGGAGTATCTTGCTGGGAGGAAGAGGAGGGAGGGGTATGGGGTTATTGAGGGGTTGGGAGGGGTGAGATTATCCCTTTTCTCTACATCATGTTCTTGTTGATGATACTTGAGTATATGGCTAATATGGTGTGTGACAGGCACAATGCAGAAACGTGGTATACGCGATGCTAAACCCCGATGCAGCCCGACGGATCAAAGCATCTGAAGTGATGAGATCAGAGTGGATGTATAACCTTGATGTACATCAATAACATACATTCACACATTATCACACATTATCACATAATAGTACACTAAACCGTCCCAGCAGCCAACACATACCCCCCATCCACCACCACCGTCTGCCCATTCAAATACTGATTCGTACTAACAAACAGCACCGCACTAGCCATATCCTCATCCTTGCCCGGTCTCGCCGCCGGCACCTTACCCTCATACTTCTCCTTGGCCAACTGACTCTTCTGCATCTCATCACTCTCCCCGGCCGTCATCTCACTCGGAAACACCCCGGGAGCAATATTATTAACCCTAATCCTCAACCCACTATCTGCCACCTCATGCGCCAGCATCTTCGTCAAATGAATCGCCGCCGCCTTACTAGCATTATACGCGAAATGATGCTGCGACACCTTCACAATCCCCGAGATACTGGTAATATTCACCACAGTACTACTCCACCCCTTCTCCCTCTCGGACCCCTTCTGCAACAACGGCAAGAACGCCGTCGTGGTGAAATACAACTGCATGACATTCGTCCGGTAGGTATCTTCCCATTCACTCATGGGTGTCGCATCATCGAACAGCGATTGCTTCAGTTCCGTGGCGTCGCTGGGTTCCGTGTTATCAGTGCTGCTGCTGATTCCGGCGTTGTTGATCAGGATGGAGAGGTGGGATTCGCGCGATTCAATCTCCTTTACGAGTTTGCTGATGGATTCTTTGGAGGTTATGTCTGACACGATCGGGATGATCTCCCCGCTTATGTTCTTGTTGTAGAGACTTGCTACCCGGTCGAGTTTCTCTTGTGTTCGGCCGGTGATGTATACTTTTGCCCCGTTGGTTGCCAGTGCTTGGGTCGCCATTAGGCCGATGCCGGAGCCGCCGCCGGTGATTAGGGCAACTGGCAGTTTTGTTAGTATGCTGTTGTGGTGGAGATGTAGGAGGGGGGTATATGGGGATGGTATAGGGTGGGTACCTTTGCCCTTCACGCCGAAGAGATTCTCCAGCTTAAAGTTCTCGTTGCTCGCAGAGGCCATTTTGTGTAGGTTGGATTGGGGTCTCGTGGTTGTGTGTGAGAAGTGGTGTTGTTGAGTTGTGGAATAGTGGTATGATGGTGTAGAGTTGAGATGTCTGCTTGAGGTATATATAGCTGGACGGATAGTATTACTGGTGTGGATTGCGTGAGTAGGACGTAGCACTGCACGAAGGAATTGACGCTGTAACATGGTGAAGTGGTATCTAGTCTAGGGTTGAATCCGGTTTATATGTGCCAGTGTGCATGGAGATAGTGATAGTAATGGTGGTGATGATGGGGTGGAGATCATCAGTATGACGTGAGTTGAGTATGAAGTAATGGTGGTCCAGCCATGGTTGCAGCCGCAGTGGTCATAATGAGTTAACTGCCAACAATCGAAGGACAACTAGGCTAATTGAATTTGGTTAACATTAAACTGTTACTGCAACTTATACTAATCAATAATGCTAAAAGTAGAAGGTGTGTATCTACAACTTCGCTTTGATTCCCTCCTCCGCCGGCACCACCTCCACCATCATCTTGCCCGTATTCACTCCATTATACAAATCCACCAGACTCTTCGGCGCCGACTCCAACCCCCCTTTCACAATATGCTCCTTGCGCTTGATCTTGCCCTGCGTCAACCACTTGGCCAGATCCTGCAACGCATCCGGGTACTGCTTGGCGTAGTCGAACACGATGTAGCCCTGCATTTTGACTCGTTGCGACTGTGACCGTTAGAACCTCCCAACCCAAGAACATCATTAAGAAAAAAAGGGGAAGGGGAACTTACAATAACCTGCATAATATTCGCCGGTCCCTTCGGCTTCGCCACATTATACTGGCTAATCGCACCACAAATCACAAACCTAGCAAACTGCGCCGCCCGACCCAAACACGCATCCAGGATCTCCCCACCCACATTATCAAAGTAAACATCAATATACTCCGGCGTAGCCTCCTTGAGCTGCTTCTTCCAATCCTCATCCTTGTAATTAATCGCCACATCAAACCCCAACTCCCTCACCAAAAACTCACACTTATCCTTACTCCCCGCAATCCCAACCACCCTCTTCGCTCCCTGAATCTTCGCAATCTGGCCAGCAACCATGCCCGTCGCGCCCGCCGCACCAGACACAACCACTGTATCGCCAGCCTTCGGCTTCCCCACATCCATCATCCCGAAATACGCCGTCAGCCCAGTCATCCCCAGCACGGACATCGCATCCGTGGGCTTGCACCCCTCCGGCACGGAGATCTTCTGCGCCTCTTTGGCGCCTAGGACAGCGTATTCCTGCCATCCGGAGTAGGCGATCACCCAGTCGCCGACTTGGTATTGGGATGTCAGACTGCTACCGACGGATAGCACCTGCGCGATGCTTTGGCCGCGCATGATGCTGCCGATTTTCACGGGCGCAATGTACGACCGTTTGGCTGTGAGCCATTGGCGCATGGCGGGCTCGAGGGCGAGGTAGTGGATGCGCACGAGGACTTTGTCGGCCGGGACATTGTTCCTGTCGATGGTGGTGGTGGTCTTGAGGTTGAAGGTGCCGCTTGTTACGGATGGGTCGATGGCGGCTGTGGGGGCCTTGACGTAGATGAGTTGGCGGTTTGTGAGGGTCATTTTGATGCCTGATTCAATGAATAGTAATTAACTGTATACAGTGAATAAAGGTAGTAGAATGGGTAAGTGAAGAGAATCGGGCTGAAAGTCCATCTTTTTGGCGTTGACCCTGAGCCCGTCCTGAACCTCGGCTCGTTCGCTTCCACACTAGGCCTTCGCTCTGTTTGTAGTAACTCCTCCGGTGTCCCCGCGGCTGAGCTCTCTGGTCGGGGTTGGTTGGTGGTCCCTTGATGGGCTTCGGCTCGGAGTTATTGTGTTGGCTTATTGATTAGTCGGTCTGCCTACAATCTATGGCCGTTTCTTCTGCAGGTATGCTGTTAGTCTTTGATTTCTGCAGTTTTGCAGTTTTGCACTTTTTTTTGTCATGACATCATTGTTGTGTTCTGCAGTCTTATCGATAAGGTATCACGTGATGGTATATTGGTAGGCATTGCATTGAAGATGAATTGAGTCGTCAGCATCTCTTATCCAGTCGTGACATTCCTGTGACTGGTCTCATTTGCTCATGTTATTCACTGCAAAATGCACGTCCAGCTATGGCAGGGCAGTGATGCTGCGTCTGAACCATGGTATGTCCTGCCTGACGTCACCCGCTGATCGATGATGTCGAAGGCTTCAACCCTCTCCCTCGCCTCCTTATATAAGATGAAGACAGACAGTGGGGAATGAATACTACCTAACATCATCATCAACATATTACATATCAAAACCGACTATTGAAATATCACCATGAGCAGTACTCAGCCTCCCTACTATTCTTCCACCTTCGGTGAACCCAACCAGAACCCCAGCGCAACTACTGCAACTGGGACTCAAGTTGGCAGCGGCATCACCAGCACCGGTCAAGCAAATACTGGCCCTGCGCGCACCACTGCCGGACCGCATCAATCTGATCTAGCCAACAAGGCCGATCCCCGCGTGGATAGCGATCTGAACAACCGCGCTCAGTACGCCCCTGGCGCGACAACCACCGGCAACGTACATCCCCAGGCAACCCAGAACGTATCGAACCCTCAAAGCTCCACCGCGGGTCCTCACAAGTCCTCCCTTCTCAATAAGCTCGACCCCCGCGTCAACAGCAAGACGGGCGAGATGTCTTCCAAGTCGACCAACGCAACCGGCTCTGGAGCCATGCGTGAACCTACCGACACCACCGGCGGAGCCGCTTACCAGCAACCGAACCAAGCGGCTACCGCTGCCGGAGGCGCTGCCTCAAGCGCAGCTGGCTACAACACGGCCCCGGTCTCGGGATCGCAAACCACCAGCGGAGTAGGATACCAACCGACGCAATCATCCGGGAGCACATATGGCACCCAATCCAAGTCGGCTGCTGCCGGGGAATCTGTTGGCGGCGGTGTGAAGTCGGCAGCTGCAGGAATCCATGTAAGTCCCGACCACCCGTCGAGTCTAGCCAGGCACTCATCCGTAGTGGCCGCGGGCTATCCGACACTAACGAGCGGCTGATGCTAACCTGAAACACAGGGAGCGGGGGAGTCATTGCGAGGCGGGCTCACAGCTGCGGTCGACAAGGCCTTTGGGCACGAAGAAGGGGCCGCCAAAAACTCGGCCATCGCTCGAGAAGGGGAGCGAGAGATTCAATCGGGAAACTTCAGCAGAACCCAGCGGTGATTTTGAACACCATGGTCTTTTGGGAATGGGATTGACCCCGCCTTTTTTGTTAATGAGATACGAATACGCCATGTGCTAGTGCTTTTTATAGTGTAAATTATGAATATGATGTGTACCATGACGCGGAGTTTCCTTTGTCGCGCAAAGGTCGGTTGGACCTAAAGTGGCTCTAAATTAGCACGTTGCAACCCGGGTTGGAGTGGACGGATGCCAGTTAGCGTCGGGATAGCCACATTCCGGCGTGCTGGCATGCGGAGGCTGGGAGGATACTTAGTTGTGCTAATCTTTATTGTGGTTGAGATTCAAGCGAGGGACAGGTGGTAGACCAATGATGAAGAGAGTAAACAACACAGTCCAGACTACTTTCTGACTGTACTTAGTCGACAGTGATAAGTAGTGAAAGAACAATTGTCTGTTGTGGTGTGGCAATGAACCCGCTGACTGTCAGCTGATTGGCGCCTGAGGTGCTCCATCTTGATCTTCTTCTTGATTTCCCCCTCAAATCATCTTCTCTCTCATTTGTTCTGTTGCTTCGGCTGCCCGCCAACCGAACCAAGCTACTTACTATGACGATATGCAGCTACTTTTACTCTGTTTGGCGATGTGATGCGATCGTTATGCTATTGCCTGGGGCATGATCTCATTGCAATATTATCGCCAATGGTCTGATTGTGTGCAGTATCTACATGCGAGAATGCCATCTACGGAACTCGAGAATGAACCCATGGACCGTGTGGCTCTTCACGGATGCTCTCCGATGCCTCTCCACCCAATCTCTTGCTGAATCTCTCCCCTTCGTGTACTAACTCACAGCCCTCCCAATGCTCTGCTGAAGCCCAAGCTGACCTCAGCTCCGTTCCGAGACAGCAAATCCTCCTGGTGATCAGCCACTGACTTAACCTCCAGCCAAGCATCCCACTAACGCTCAGCTATGCTGAACTATCCGGCACTATCCATGGTCGGATCCCAAGAATAACCCCGTCGCGCGAGTACAGCCTTTCCTAGTTTCACCTACACTATTGCTTGGAAGCTGGAAATAATCGTCGCGACTGACAGGAAGCTTCTTCCGGAACGCCCGGAGGCTGTGCGGTGGAACCTCTCTTTCTCTGACTTTTTTGGCCCTCTTGCTTAGTTTTTCCATTTTTCTCCTCCCCTGCTCGTCATGGTTTATTAATATTTCTTTTGCTTTTCTCCCTTCCTTCGACGGTACCTGTCCATTTCTTCATTATTATCTTGTCTTCCGTCCCACGCTCTCTCGCGTCCCCATTCTTGCCATGACTCCATGCGCTTGATTTGCTGATCACCTCCAGCACGCTCCAGTCTCGCCCCTATGGAGCCACCCTAACGCGAATACGAATGCTCCATCGCAGACATTCAAACCGTTAGTTTAGTGCGCTACTCCATAGTAACCCATCCATCTATCCACTCTGACATGTGATGGATCCTAATTGAACTGCCCTCTCTAGTCTGTCTCAGCCTTTCTCTTCCCATCTATTCTTATCTTCCCTCATCACTCGATTTTTAAACTCTCTTCCCTGCATGGGTCATACATAATCTCACCTCTTTCTCCCCTCTCCGCCCACCTTAACCATGGCGATTCCTGCACATCCGGCGGGGACCAATGGTCAGGTCCCCGTCATTGCACACTCCTCGCCAGCTGCGGAGCCCTCGCCCACTTTCACCGTCAATTCGAGTTCCGACAGTGAGGATCCGAATCTCCCGGACGCCGTCCGCGAAGATGAGGCCAATGAAGTCGTCGGAGTTAGCATGAGTCGCGCCCAGAGCCGTATGAAGGCGCGCCTCACGCCTGCGGAAGAGAAAACCCGTATGATGGAACGGCAAAGCAGCTACTTCGACACAATCCCGGATACGCCGGAACCGGAGGGTCTTTTTGCATCTGAAATCACCGACGAACCAGAAGCTTTGCCTGAAGAACCGGCTGCTAAGCCGGGTGATGCTCAAGCCTCTTCAGCGGACTTGGCGGCGCCACAGCGTGACAGCGCCCGGGGATCCAAGGACGGTCAGCGAACCAGCTTCACCCGTTCGATCTTGAAATCCGGATTGCCCCTTCGACCCAGGGCATGGTCCGGCGACTCTTTGACCAACATACGCCTGAAGAAGTTCCTGCCAGATCTATTAACTAAACGATCATCGCTTTCCTTCCGACCCGGATCGTCATCGCAAGTCCGGGCTCGCAGTCAGACCCTGAAGCCCGTGTCAAAGCTGGCATTGGAACAGGAAAAAGACGAATCAGCGCTGCAGTCCCGGCGGAAATCGTTCTCCGATCCAGAATCTAGAGATAGTCCCGAGGAGCAAGTATCTGAACTCGATCCTCTCGGGGGCGCCACGACCGCTAGACACTCTTATGCGCGAAGGCCCAGCACAACAGGCCGCCCACCTTCTCTCCTACGGAGATCATCTTCAGACCAGTCTTTATATCTGAGGGCTTCGTCAACCGCATCGTCTCTTGAACAGCGTCCCCGTTACGAGCATATCCATTCGCAAGTCAACAGCCGGTTCAAGGCGATCAAGGACAGTCTTCAGGATTCCAGCAGCCGGCTACTTAGTATGCCCACGCTGCACCTGCAAGACTTCCGAAGTGATTGGGGCTATAAGCCATTTCTGTCCGATGTCACTAATCGCAGGGGCCACACCTACGCCACGCCAGAGCAGCCGCCTGCTGCTCGGGAGATGCCGGGTGATGAATCAATCCCACCTCGGGCCCGTTCTCCGCGGACCAGTATTAGTGCACAGTACCCCAATTTGACCGAGGCCATGGCCGAAATGACCGGTGATGTCGTGATCCTGGGAGGCTATCGAGGCTCGGTCTTGCGGTCCGCCAAACCGCCGCAGCGCCAACTCTGGGTTCCGATGAAAGTCGGCCTGAACCTTCGCAAGGTGGATCTGGAAGTTGGCTTAAACCCGGAAGATGAGGAACGCATGGAAGAAACCATTATCCCGTCCGGCGTGTTGTCCCATGTTGGCCCAGTCGATATCTGCCGCCGGCTGATGAAACGCCTTCAAAAGTGCCCGAACGCCGTCAATGGTGACCTCCGAGTCCACGATTATGGCTACGACTGGCGGTTGAGTCCGCATTTACTTGCTAAGCGATTAGTCAAGTTTCTCGAAGGCTTGCCCTGTAACTCCCCAGACGTTCCCCGCGAAAAGCGCGGGGCCTATGTCATCGCCCACAGTCTGGGTGGCCTCATCACACGGCATGCCGTTAATCAGCGACCGGATCTCTTCGCAGGAGTCCTCTATGCGGGCGTTCCGCAGCACTGTGTCAACATCTTGGGCCCTCTTCGTAATGGAGATGATGTGCTGCTTAGTTCCCGCGTCCTTACAGCTCAGGTGAACTTCACCTTCCGTACCAGCTTCGCCCTCCTTCCAGAGGACGGACACTGCTTCATCAACAAGCGGACGAAGGAAGAGTACCGTGTGGATTTTTTCTCGGCCCAGGCGTGGGACGACTATCGGCTCTCTCCTTGTATCAATCCGGCCCTTCCACTTCCAAATAGCAGAGGCTTCAAGGACAACTTACCTCTCCTCGGGAAGCGCATCTCCACCGTCCTAGGCAGCAAGGATAGTCTGTCCTCGACGGATGATGCCAATGGCGAGCAGGCATCACACAATCACACCTCGAACCCTAACGAGACAGCAAATCCCTCCAATGAGTCCACCGGAAAATATGCACCGGTCTCTGCCCCGAACCTGGAGAGCGCGGTAGGACCAACGTCCAATTTCAAGGGCTCAGCCAATACCAAGGCTACCACAACCACGACCATACCCCGTGCAACAGCCGTGACTTATCTAGAGCGCACCCTCGCAGAGGTTCTTCGGTTCAAGCAAGAGCTTGCATTCAACTCCTCGCATCAGTCTCAAAACAAATACCCACCCTTCGCCGTGCTATACGGCAAGTCCGTGCCCACCGTCTACGGGGCTCGCGTCGAATCGCGCGAGCGCATCCCATACCAAGACGCCTACGACGATCTGGCGTTCGCCGCCGGCGACGGCGTCTGTCTTGCCTCCGCGGCCATGCTGCCGCCGGGATACCGAATCATCAAGGGTGGATTGGTGAAGAGCGACCGTGGCCACGTCGGACTTCTAGGCGACCTAGAAGGCGTGGGTCAGTGTCTTCTGGCGTTGGTCAGAGGCCGACAAGAGGGTGTTGGACTGGGAGGTGAATCTTCTCAGCAACAATCATCTTCGTCATGATTCATCATCCTCAAACCCTCTCACTTCTCTCTCCCCTCCCAACAAGACAACATGCATACATACATATGGTCATTGTTATTCCCGCCTATGCATACTAGAAACGATACCCCTATCATTATAAATATTGTTCGCACTGCATTATCCTGTTTATGACGACTATGAAATGAATAATGAAACAATATTCATATGGTATATACAGTGTATTGATATGTCGATTGGTTTGATGCTGAAACAGCATCCCATTTATCATCACCATGTTCATACAATATCCATGACTAGAATCAGTCTGTATATTATATCATCTACAATTCAATGAGTTATTCTGTTTACGGATATCTTCAATCGCTTTAGAAACGATAATTTCAAATTTACCCTCTTCTAGTATAATGACTACTACGTAGTATTAATATATATCGCCGGTCTACTGATAGTAGTACTTCGATCATACGATAAGTAGATAGTAACATGCGGCCCTAAGAATGTCTGAATACCATTACTAGCTATTCAAGTGATAACCAACGCATACAGACAGTGAATTACTCTATGAGATACTAATAGTAGTAAGTAATACATTGAACTTAGCACATCGCTAACTGCCAGCCCCAAGGGAGGTATGCAGGTATACCAGTCAATACTATGTTCATCCTTGATAGTACCTGAGGATTAGTAGTATGGATCCTCGGGATCCTGCAGGAATGAATGTGCGGGGTCTGAGTTTATCTGATAGGTTCTATCCTTTCTCAGTTACCATCTACTACCAACCCTCTCAAGATATCCCATCGATAAATATATCCCCACACTGATCATACATCAGACCCATGAGAAAAAAAAAAAAAGACATCAACTCTAATCAATGAACCGTATCTCATGGACTCAATTATACCCGTCTGTCTAACCATCTAGAATGCCGATAATATTTTGATCATAAGAAAAGAGAAGGAAAAAAAATATAATGCGAAAGAAGTGAAAAGCGCGCCCTATACATGACAAGAAGAGAAAAAAATCGCAAAACAACGAAAATTGACTTCAAGCTTAACCCGTTCTCGAGTTGGCGATGTTCAGGACCAGAATATCCGTTGCGCCAACCTTGGTCAGGTCGTCCATGACCGTCGCGATCTTCTTCTTCTCGACCATCGAGCTAACGGCAACCCAGCCGTCTTCTTCCAGAGCGGTCACCGTGGGTGCGCGCTTGCCGGGGGTGATCTTGGAGGCGGTGGCCAGTTCTCCGCGGGGGATGTTGTACTGGCACAGGACGTATTTTTGGGCGGCTGCGGAGAATAGATGAGTCAATGGGGCTGATCGGGTGATATGAAGAAGATGGTAGGAACTTACTGATGACACCGCGGATACGGGAAGCGATCAGGTCAACCAGAGGGTTCTGGGTCTTCTTGGACTTGACCAGGACGGAGATGGTCTCGACGACGGTGTCGATGGCCTTGAGACCAGCGGCCTTCATGGTCTCACCGGACTCTGTAGACATTGATTAGTTGCTGACTGGCATGATAATGCTACGAATGAGGATCATTGATCATACCAACAAGATCGACGATGCCGTCAGCAACACCCAGAGCGCAAGCAGCCTCAACACTGCCGCCGACGTACTTGATCTTAGTGCTGAGCTCGCTCTTGTCAGCATCACTCTTGCCCTCGAGCTTGGCAAAGAACGCCTCAGTGAGAGCAGTGAAGCTGGTGACGATGTTGCGACCAATCAGCTGCTTGGCCTCGGTGATGTCGCCCTTCTCCGGGACCTGCACCTGGAGCTTGCAGCCGCCGAAGCCAAGGTCCATGACCTCCTCCACGTTGGAGACTTCGCCGCGGGGCAGCAGCGCATCGTGTTCGGCGATCTGGTCGCGACCGGTGATACCGAGATCAACACGGCCTTCACCGACGAAGGTGGGGATATCTGCGGCGGGAAGGAAGATGAGGGCGATGGGAAGGTTCTTGACCAGAGCGATGTCCAGGCGGGTTTCGCGACGGAACTGGATGTCGCAGCCGGCCAGGAGGTCCAGCGTGGCTTGTTGAAGACGGCCCTCTGTTCATGGCAAGACAGGCGTTAGTCCGGTGCTTGGTTTAGGGGCCATTGGTGGGTTTGGGGGTGCTTTGCGGTCAGGGAGAGTGAGTCATGGCGGGAACTTGCTTTTGGGGACAGCGAAGAGCAGTCTTCCTTCGAGGCTGTAGGAGATATGTTAGTAATGATATATGTATAGAGTGAATAGCATGCTGCGATCGTGGGGTTCAATGCTTGCTACGGGGCAATTGACTCACTGGTTGACGAGATCCATACTGACGATCAACGGCGCGGGGTAAACCGGCAAGGAATTGGAGATGACAGGGAAGAAAATAAAGGGAACAATTGAAGAATTAGAGATAGATCCAAGATCCAAGAGACTGTCGAATATCCTAAAAAGGGTATTGCGAACAGAAAAACAAGAGTTAAGCTGAGGTAAGAGAGAGGGAGAGGAAGAGGGGGAAATAAGCAGCGTAGCGGAAGAGGAAGAAGATGCCGCAGAAAAGAGTCTGAAATCCCGTCATCGGAGGGGCCCGCATTGCACCGATACCTCAGGCCAGCAAAGATTCAGGGTTACTTGCTGCCTGACACTTCTGCCTCATATATCAGGCTTTAAGAGAAGTCGATTACCTCATCACCGGCCTGACATTCCAGCCTTAGTTGACTGCCTGACGGCTCAGGCCACATTAGCCCTGAGCCCTCGCCTTTAGCCCAAAACAGAAACCCAACCCACACAAGCCGCAAATCCATCGATTTTCACGAACGGCTTCAACTTCTGCCAACCCCCCCCAAAACGCCATCTTCACGCATCCCGTCAGTCCTTCGCTGTCGTCAAGCCCAACTCCAAGATGGATTCCGCCAAGCAGCCCGCTAAGCTCGTCAAGGTCACCCGTGTCCTCGGCCGTACCGGTACGTCGTGAATTTCTCAATTTTATCGAATTTCGATGCCTTTCGCCTGGGATATATACAAATTGCGGTGTTTCCGCGACGGCGTGTGGATGGCACATATGGCTTGAGAGAAGATTCTAACGAGCATTTCAATATATAGGATCCCGTGGTGGTGTCACCCAGGTCCGCGTCGAGTTCATGGACGACACTTCCCGCAGCATCATCCGTAACGTCAAGGGCCCAGGTATGCGATTTCTCCGTTGATTACAATTGATGATATATATACATTTCCTACGGCTATGGTGGTGGCGCTGGTTGGACCGAATCGAATTATTTCCCCACGAAGAGAAGAATCCCGCGAGAAGAATGGCAGAGAATAAATGAAAAAGTGCGCACGCATCGGAAGTCAACAACACCCACGATCCTATCAGCGAACGGGACGGTTCTTCGACATTCAACACGACGCACGTAGGAACTGAAGAGGGGGAAATAGAGGGACAAGCAGTATCGCGGGACATTCTCAACTCCACGGGGAAAGAAATATCGCATTCAGTCCATCCAGCCAACCAACCAACCAACCAGTCGCTCCATCATCTCCAAAACAAACCCATATATGGCACACCAAGCTAACCAAACCCCTCTTCGTCGCAAACAGTCAAGGTCGACGACATCCTCTGCCTGCTCGAGTCCGAACGCGAGGCCCGCCGTCTCCGTTAATTTCCTTTACCAACAACTCCGAGTTTTCGTCAACATCTTTTTCCCTCTCGAGGCTATGTACCCTTGCTTGCGTTGGAAATGATTATTCTGGGAGGTCTGGTCGGGAAGGCAAAAAAAGAAGAACTATCTTATCTTATGGGCTGATGCGGCATCCGGGTTGTTATGGCTTCGTTTGAGAAAAATTCTTTTATTGTTTTTTCTTCTTCTTATCATTCCTGTGTGTCCAGACTCATATTTCCTACTACTGGGCTTCATATAGAGCGAAAGTGAGAGAGAAACAAGAGAAGAAAAAAACGAGGCTATCAACCTGAAATACAAAAAACGAAGGAAAAAAATTTGAAATCCCCACGGGCGCGAGGTGATCTTCTATTCATCAAGTCTCTGTCTAGATTACCCCCTTATTTCTTCTTAATTTTTCTCCCTCGTGTTGTATGCACGATGCACTCGAATCGGATGGACCTTTGTGTGAACTTGCTCAGATTGGGATCTTAGGCGGTATTAGGGGAATAAGGTCTGCGGGGACACTATACCTTGTGTTGGTGTCTCGTGAGTGAGTCCTGGCTTACGATTCATACGTCCATTCTGCCTCTTACCTCGTAGATATCACTGCCCTACATGTAGAAGATGAATGAAACAGCGTTGTGGAGACCCCGCTGATCACGAGTCATTTGAATGTTTCTCATAAATCTATGTCTAAAGCCTAACACTTTTGATCATGCAACGCCGCCAATACGCTCATCTTGATAGAAAGCAATAACACATCAATATGCTTATTACAGTTGCTCGGCGCTGCTGATGAGGCGCTCAATCATATTTCCATCCTTGGTGCCTTCCATGACCTCTCCGACGGCCGTCACAAGACCAGCCAGTTTCCGCCGGCGGATTTTCTCCTCCAATTCTTTACTCTTCTGCCGGGCTTGGTCCAGCAATGGCCCTGGCAGGTTCGCTAATCGCGCGACGTTCAGCCCGTAGCTACGGTGTGCCACGCCCTCACCTACTTCGTAGAGAAATGTGATCTCTTCGTCTGTTCCGGTACCTGATTCGGTAAACCGCATGTGCACGTTGCGTAGTTCGTGGTCTGCAAAGGTATGGACCATTGAAGAGAGGTGTTGATAATGGGTGATGAAGAGCGTAAGGCTTCGGATCGACCGTACCATGTAGTCAAGGACAGCTTGTGCGATTGCAACGCCATCATGCGTGGACGTGCCCCGGCCCAGTTCATCCAGAATGACAAGTGATCGTGGAGTCGCCTGCTTGAGGATGTCTGCGGTCTCGGAAAGCTCGACCATGAAGGTAGACTCGCCAGCTAGCATGTTGTCGAAAGCACCCATGCGTGTGAATACAGCGTCCAACATACCAAGCTTGGCCGACTGCGCGGGAACATAAGAACCTATTTGCCCCATGATGGCGATGAGCGCTACTTGTCGTACATAACTGGACTTTCCGCCCATGTTGGGTCCGGTGACCAGGAGAGCGCGTGTCTTGTCGCTGTCCAGGTCGATGTCGTTTGGCACATAACTGTCCAACAGTAACTGCTCGACCATTGGGTGACGTCCCTGGTCCACTTGGATGCACGTATGGTCCGTATATTCGGGCTTCACGTAACCCGGTTGACTAGCTATAGTCGCCAGAGCTATCAAGCAGTCAAGCGTGGCCAATGCCTGCACACTATCCCGGAAGGGCTGGTATTTAGTTGCTATATCAGCGAGAAGGGATATGAACGCCTTGTCACACGCCGCGGCCAACGCTTCTTTGTGCTGGTCACGCTGTCGCATGAGCTGAATGACTTCCGGCGTATGAAACCTTGATACTTTCTTGGTGCCGCTCACTTTCACCCATGATGCAGGCACACGTTTAATGGAAGCCGAGCTGTTCTCGACTTCAATCAAATAATCAATCCCCGCAACAGACTTGTATTCGACCGTCTTCTTCCCGAGCTTCTGGCCAGCAACAGAGCGATGCGCCTCTAGCTCGTGTTCAACACTTGCAATGCCGAGCTTTTGGTCACTGATATCTTCTGTCTCTTCGGTTTCGCGAAAGAAGGCATACTTATCATCACTCTTCGCGGCATGCATATTAATCTTGTCCAGAAAAGCTATAACGTCTTCCAGGATCGTAGGGAGACAAGTGATCGCTTCATTAATGGCAGGAGACGCAAAACCGGTATCCGCAGGTGATTTCACGTCAGAGAATTCCTGCGCAATCATTTGCATCGTCTGCAAAACGGTGAGGAGTTCCGGTCGAGTACACTGGTTGTTTTATTAGTTTTTATTCAAGTGACCAACATTAGAGACGAAGAACCAACCTTGCCGTAATAAATCCGAATCAAGCTCTTTTCCAAGTCGCTCTTGACCTTTCCAAGCAACGCCTTGAGCCGCTCTACCATTACCGTCTTTTCTGGATTCTTCAGCTCTTCGACAGCGTTCACCCTCTCTTCTAGCTTCGACTTGTCTAGTAGAGGACGTCCAACCCATTTCCGAAGCATGCGCTGTCCAAACCGCGTTTGCGTCCGATCAAGCGTCCAGAAGAGACTGCCTTTAGTCGTATGGTCCGTTTGGTTTTGGTAGATCTCGAGGCTCATCAGAGTGTTCCCGTTCAGAAGCATGTGTGATCTGGAGGAAAAGTGTTGGAAGTATTTGGTCAACTCGAAAACATATTCCAAGCCGTATTCTTTCATATGCTCAATCATGGACGAAAGGCAAATAGTCACTTGCTCTGGTAAACTGAGCACCTTCTGAAGTAGGCTACTCGCCTGTGCATCATCTGCGGCACTGGCCGTCTTCATCTTTCCTGCATAAAAGCTGGAGACATGGCTGTGTGACTCCGCGGCGGCAGTCTTCGACTTAGGCACTCTTTCCACGCGGGTCTTGTCCCCGAAGACGTTCAACTTGCTGCCGGAGAGATGCTGGACGAGCTTTTCCGTGGCCTTAGAAAGCTCACCAACAATCAAAAGCTCGCAGGGTGCAATATGCAGCAACCTCGTTTCGATTTCACTCCTCATGAACCCGTCTTCGAAGTCGTCATAAACAATGTCTCCTGTAGCCGGCTGGACAGCAACAATTCCCACTTGAACCTTCTCATCATTGCCCCAGCCCTTTGCATTTGTCTCGGTAATGCACAGCAAGTAGCCGGTTGCTGGTGAGGCGCCACCAGATGCTGCAGGCATAGGCCCTTCTAAGCCTTCCGCATCGTCGATATAGGTACCCTTGGTGTACAAGTTTGTGAGTTTGCGCACGAAAGGCGCATTGCGGTTATCGCCCGCTGCTTTCAGAGCAGCAGTCTCGATTTGTCTCACCACGCCGACCTTATGACCTGCGGCAACGAGGCGCTTTACATGAACGTGTAATCTGTGAACCGGTATGCTAGCGGAGGCGAAACGATCGAGGTGTGCTTCAGAAGGATCTAGAATCGACAAGACCTACGTTAGGCACGATTCACTAATAAAGTAGGAGATGGAAAGGAGGCGACGGAACCATACTCACGTTCGTCAAATCTTAGTTTTCCAGGGATACAGACTATAGACAACTCCTTTGCGGCGACCCTCGCATCTTCACCAAAGAATCGGAACTTGTAGCCGACTTCAACTACTAGGACGGTATCCATATGCTTGCGCTTGATGTCGATGACCTGCTTCTCCATTGGAGTGAGCTTGCTTCCACCTTTCTTTGCAGCAGCTTTGCCCTTGGCAGGAGGAGGTGGTGCTGCTTCCTCCTCATCTTCGGCCTCAGCCCCCTCCTCGGGTGTAGCTTCGCTGATAGCATTTCTACCAATGCCAATGAGACAGTCCGCGCCACCCAATTTCCGAACGAACTTCTGGTGTAACGCTTCTCTCTCCTTCTGTCTTTGTCTAGCCTCAAGTTCACCTGCCGCCTGCGGCCCTTCCGCTCCAGTGTTCACCGCAGGCGAGCTGCTGAATTTGAATATCTCAGTCCTCTGGCTACTAGTCAACGCCGGTGGTCGCTCTGTAGTGGATGTTGACTTCGGAACCTCTTCTTTGCTTGCGGGGTGAAGGCCGTTTGTTCTAGCTCTTTTAGGGGCCGGTGCCACTATGTCATCCTCCTCATCATCGGTCAGGGCGGTATCTTTCTTTGGCGCTCGTTCCTGATTGTCCGCTTTCTCGGGGGTTGTGGCTGGGTTTTTCTCTTCAACGACATCGACTTGAGCAGGCTGAGCTGTTTGTGGTTTCTTCGTGAAGAAGCTCGCGAGGGTTGACTGCTTCCGCTTCACTCCTGGTAACGAAGAAGTCTGTGATGAGGGAAGAGGCATTTTCTCTTTGTGATCGAAACCACTGACAATCGCCGAGGCAAATTATCTTAGCAACACCGAGGGGGAAGGGTTCGCGGTGGCGGTAGCGCCTGCTGGTCGCGCCCTAAAGTCCGATAACAGCCTAGGACCTTCGTATTCATATATAAGACATCAATCAAATCGCATTAGACGATATCCGGAGCCAAAGCATTCGCCTTAGCGTCAAATGCGTATCCGCGGGTCGGGAACCTTGACGCGTGGAGGAGCTCCGTCACGCCCGTCACGCGTAGTTCCCTTAATTTAATTGCACTTGAAGATGATATAATCTTTCTGCCTGAGGCAGAAGCAACCACAAAACTACTTAACTTCTATCTGGACGAGTATACACTTTCTCTCTCCTCGTCCCTCTGTCTTTCTCTTGGTGTAAGCATGATGCTGTTGGAGTTATTATACACTATAACATACTAGTATACAGTGTCAAGGGGTGTCGTCCGACAGTCAATGTATAGCGGCTACCATCGAGTTTGACCCCAATGCAGTACTAACCACCCAAGTATTCATACCACGTAACGCGAGTGCTTGTATATTAGGCAATGCAAAGAAAGTTACAAAGGCATGTCAGTTTTGGTTCCGAAGTCGACTAAGATTGTGCAAGGGCCATATAAAGATATAGTTTGACCCGCAGAAACCGAACTCAACTCACGCCACACAGACGAGGACCAGAACTTAGAACGAACTCCCGTCCAGGTAAAGTCGGCCAAACTCGCTTTCATCAACGTCCGAAATTGTTGAGTCGGGTGAGCCAAGCTGTGTTTCAAACTGGTTGTTCGATCTATGTTCCGGTTTTGGAGTATACATTGGACCGTCGTCGGCGGGCAAACCAGAGAGTGAAACGGCCAAAGGGTTGAACGAGTATCCAGTGGGGCTTTCCTGGTTATCGAACGATCTGAAGCCGACTGGTCGAGAATCTCCAAAAAAGTACTGCGGTGGGTAACAAATTCCGCTGGTCAAATGCTCCGTGAGAGAAGGGGACTGCCAGTCCATCAGAGGATCAATGCGGCCACGGACATCCAGGAGTGGTTCAATGTTCTCCTTGTCCATGGTCAATTCATGCGCTCGTCCAGTCACTGCGGGAGATTGGTCACTAGGTGATAGTGGATAAGCATCATGATGAAGTGTGAAATCCTTGAGGAGGTACAGAGGATGAGAGGGAGCCGACGCCACAGCATGAGTTCCATCGCCATGATTATGATCCGTAGAACCAGCATTACACTGACTTGGTCTATCGTGAAAGACGGTAAATCCAGTGCGAGATTTTAGCTTTGTCCCTTTGAAGGATAATTCAAATTCGTCCATGTCATCCCCGCGACTGCCATATCGAAGCAGCCGCTGAGGCCCTAGGGATCCCTTGGGGATTTGTGTATCTCTTCCTCTTGTATCTCTATCCACCAGTTTCTCAATGCGCTTGGTAGTCCTTCGGGTTCGTTTCCTACTTTGCCCACGTTGGATATTAGGATCAACTTGGGAGAGGACTCTTTTGGGGCGATTTACTCGACGTTTGGGAACGGGCGTCTCCCCTTTGAGGGGGCTGCTGTCCTCAACATTACCTGAGATCACACGCTGCTTTCGTAAAATTCCGGTAGGGGAAAAGACAAGCTCTGTTGGCTCCACACAAAGGGACGTCTTTTCCATGAGCTTCAAGATGCTTTCGTCCTTCTTCTGATTGCGTCTGCGTCTCATCTGTTCGGTAGCCGAGTCAAATATATCCATTCCAGGCCACAGCACACCCTTCAGTCTGGCTATCTCATCTGCTCTTTCCTTCTCCATCTCATTGATGGTGGGAAAATAAATGCTGTCAGTTTCATTATCGTCGACAAATGGATCGCAGCTGTACTGGTCGGATGGCTGAAAAGCCACGTCTGCTTCGTTATCCGATGCCTTCGCCCAGTACATGGCGGTTTGCACCGGGACGTCCTCATCCTCCGCCCTTTGCAGTTGTTCTTGCTTCCAGAGGCTGCAAAGAGCCTGTGATGTCTTTGTCGGTGAGGCTATTGGGGCTAGCGAGTGGTCTTCCAGTCCAGGGTAAGTATGCGTGAGGTTATAAGACGGATCACTAGAAGCGGCATTGGCTGAAGAGTATGACGTGTTCGTGTCCTCAGTCTCAGGTTCCGCAATGACATACGAACGAGAGAGACGCGGGTCCAGATAATCAGGCAGTTGGTTCCGGAATGAAGAACTTGCAGTGGATACTGGCACTGTAGCATTATCAGTCTCGCTCTCCGTATATGACTTCTCGTGTATCTTTTTCTTGCGGGCTTCTTTCGAGGACATCCGATCCGAAAGCAACTTGGCCAAGTTGTTTCTCTTATACCATCTGTCATATTCATGTAGCAAGGCTACTGCTTGCTGCTCTTGATGACTGCGTACTTGAACTTTAAAATAATGGGACAAGTGAGCCTTTGACGAGATATGGGTAAGCAAGTGCGATACATCGCTGAATGTGGGCCGCTTTGGGCAGATATTGCACAAAAGTGCAGCTGCATCCATTTCGGAAAGTGGTGTGATAGGGACCGGCTCCTGATTTTGGAAAATATATCGAAGGAAACAACAAGGAGGAGTTTCTATCAACAACAGATGTGATAAGCCGGCCTCGGAAGGAGAGGATGAGAAGCTCCAGAAGAAAAGGCGTTACAGGAAGATGGGGACCTGCCCGGCTGACTTTCTCACTCTTATTTCACAATTGGAGAAAGAGCTACCAAGACCAGCTTTCTCCAGGCAGGCAGGTATCAATACAGACAGGGTAGCAAATACAGTAGGCCAATCGATTGATCATACATGACACTCATACTCACCAATTGCAAGACCTCTATTTGGGGGATCTCAATGGGCGACGCCAATACAAAATAAATGCAGTACTTTGTAGTAGTTACTACAGTAGTTTCGTTTATGTGGGTAGGTGGAACACAATACTTCAGCATAGACACGGGAAACGTATCTATGTATGATACACAGTCCTATTGTCAATCACATAATCAATAGTTTCGGTGCAATCAGTTTGAGAGGCATCACCGTAAGCCAATTTAGCATTCTATCTATATTTTATAAACTAGTACGTCTGAAGACTGGAATACCAGGTGAGCCGACAACTTACTAAGTTACTAGTACTAAGTAGAGTAGTAGTACCGCTTGTCGAACTACTACACACTACTACTTACCAATACTGACACTATATATATATCTTGTCCGTTCTGGGGGCCCGAGTTTTACTAATGGGATTTTGGAAACGTGTGTTCTTAGTATATATATATATAATCAACTAGCAGTAAGGACCACGAATCGGCCAACGTCTCAGTAAAGATAAACGATAGCTACATGGCTAGTAGACGTTATGATGGCCATGGCAGTTTGTGGTTGCAGACGCAACGGACGGCATGCGTTTAGCATCTGGCAATATAAAAAAGCATTGGGTGAATTATGGCTACGATGCAGACACTAATCACTTCGAAAATTTATCAATGAATTCCAAGGATACAATAAATTTCATTCATCTTCCATGTTGATTACCTAGCTACTGTATATCTTGACTATAATTACGGTTCATGTGCCACTGTGTCTTAACAGCCTTTCCGTAAGGCTATTGTGAGGGGGTATGAAGCGGAAATAAGTCACAGTGCCAATCACTCTTCTCCTGCCTTGTATCCCATAATCCATGGAGAAAAAGAAAAACGGGTTATTAGATTGCAGGAGGTGAGGCCTACGTCAAGAAAGAGGAATTAAAAGGTGATGTCATCATACAGCCAAAGATTACCGTTGCAGATATTTCTGTGTAATTGCCTTCGGCATACAACTAAACGACAAGGTTAGCCATCCGCAATTTTGCATTGCGCAGGTTGCATAACTCACTAGACTGGATCTACTTCTTGGATGCCATTGAACTTCAACAGACTCAAACCAGCGATGGCAAAGTGGGTGTGAAACACATCAACCATGCTGCCTGGTCTGTCTCCGATGCCCCCAGCCTCCGAATCCTGAACTGCGTCAGTGCCATGCCGGCAATGTCATGGCGAAAGGGATAACATACCTGACAGCGCAAGATGAAAGCAGAGAGCTTGCCACTATCGATCCAGTGGAGTTTGTCGATCATAGCCAAGCTCGCACCAACCCACCAGCTATAGCATGCATCGGGCAGTTTCTCGGGCCTTCCGTTCAGACCACCATTTTCAACCTGTCTTTCGCTGAGCCAGCCCCCAAGACGGTCCTTGTTTACCAAGTCCAGTCGTCCGGCGATTGCCAGAGCTCCTACGCAAGTGAAGATTTGACCGGCATGTGACTCAGCCCCAGGTTGGATGCCATAGCCACCGTCTAAGTTCTCACACTGCTGGACATAGGAAATGGCCTTGGGTACATCAACTGTGTGAAGAAGCCCAAGAAGGGAGAGTGCATTAAACGCGCCATACAGAAAGCGTGTATCTCTCTCACCCCATTCATCACCCATGAAAGCACCAGTGTCTTTGTCCTGTAGCCCTGCGATGAACGAGCCAACCTTCTCTTTTCCTCCTAGACCGCGCTTCTCCAGCTCATCCACTGCGTCTAGGGTTACGAGAATTTGCACTGCCGACACTGTGTACAGCATGTGTGCATCATGGCCCGGAGCTGCTCCAAAGCCTCCATTCTCCCGTTGACACGAGAGAACGAAGTCGATGGTATCTTCACGAGGAAGGACATCGGGACGGCCAAGGAGATGTAGAGCTGTCAAGCCCCAATACACCCCATTCAGGCGAAGGTGCTCTGTAAGCCAATATTCTAGCTCATCCCTCCTCTAGCATCACCTGTCAACCATCTTCCCCATCATGAAGAGAAGAACCATGGTTATAGTAAGAATGACGCACGCTGTCCAAGTTCTTGATGTAATCCACATGTCTTTCGACACTAAGGTTCAAGCTGGATTCAGTCCCAGCAGCCCTACCAGGACCCGAAACTAAGGACATTTTTGTGATCGGATTGCTGGAAAGCAGTGTAATTAGTGGTTGAGCTTCGGACTAGTCAAGAGCTTCCTGCTCGCGCTAGAAAGGTAGCCTTATGCGCTGTCCCGACCAAGGCCACGAAGCTTGTGCCTGCCAACACAAGGGCGATCAAGGCGGAGAAGCAGGCTCGAAGCTTTGGGGGTGGCAAACACAGGGTCGTCAAGGGAGGCAACCGCTGCACGTGTCCCCCTCACTGCAGGTGAGGTTAGTATGAGGTGTCTTTGGAGGTTAGTCGTGGACGACTTGGGAAGCTGGGAGGAGGGAAAAAGCAAGCTTCGGGGAAAAAGTTGTGTGTGTGGTGGAGGGCGGTTGGTGACGAGAGGGAGGGCTGACCATCACGTGATCAAGCGCCACCGGGAAAGCCGCTGGGCCAAAAAGCGGGGCCCATTGTTTCAGCCTGGCGTTTAGGGCAGGATCGCCGTCTCCCACGGACAGCGGTGTGAAACCCCTGAGCGCCAAAGACTGCTTGCCCCTGGGTCCCTGCTCGCTCTGAAATGTTCGGTGGCTGGCCCTTGTGCCGATGCCATGGAGGCCGGGCTCCCGCGTCCCACTCTGGTCTAAGTACAAAGTAAGTTGGTGGCAATGTCAATCAAATTTGTCAAATGCATGTAAGTCCAAGGTAGGCAGGTAGTATCGAAAGTTTCTACCGAGCGTAAGAGGGATCCTTGTGTGATGATGAGCACCAGGTGCAGAACTGCAGGTATGAATGGGGAATGTGGGTTCTGTCTTCTCTACTCCGATAGTACTAGCTAGGCATAATTACGTAGTGCCGGGCTATTGACTCGGTATGGCGTAGTAGTCATATGAGTCTTTCATTGTCCCACGTGTAGGTATTATGCCGTCGACTAAACTAGATACTGCTATGTATATATTTTAGTAGATTATCTAGCCTCCAGGCAGAAATTGCTAAACGGGGCAACGCCCATAACGGTTTCGCATAAGTGCCATGAGGTGCAGGACCCTCAGCAGTCCACATTGATGAAAAGTCCCATTTGATTATCTTATGTCAAAAGCAGCAGATTGTCCTGGAGTACTAAAGCGGTAGGGGGAGCACGCTACCTTTGCTAACCGGAAGGGTTGTGTTGATTACTCCACCACTGCAACGAAGCGCTAGACCACCAGAGGTGGGAAGCCGCGTGCTCTTTGTGGTGGCAGCGTATAATGCCCCGTGGAATTACCGGAATATACTTCACACATGGAAGCGCCCAAGTATGTTTTGTTTTCAGTCCAGCATTGCTTACAAAAAAGGAGCGCATTTTTCAAAATGACAGTTCCAGGGTTGTAAACCTGCTCCAGGGCTCTCTTGCTTTCTTTTTTCTTCCCCTTGTCTATATTTAGCCATCCGGAATGTACCGTACATAATAAGAGGCACAACCAGAAATTGTAGACATTTGGTGCTATAAATGTCATTGGTAAAGCGGGGCAATAAGACAATGATAACCATTATTTATTCGTTCAACGGTGCCTAGGAAGCCAGTAGTACCTGGGTACGGGGTACACTATCCAGGCACCGACTACGCATTAATTCCTCTTTTTCCTACCATCCCCACTGACTGTATCAAATTTGTCTTGACTGAACCATGGTTGACCACCCATACAGCTTCAAGAATCAGACCACTGGCTGGAGGTTCAATATTTAGACATTATTTTTTAAAATCTATACAATCAGACATTTTGTGAACAAACAACACATTTTGTTTTTTTTCTCCCTCACCATGAAGACTTCGGGAATAACCCACACAACAATGGCGGCCGTCTGCGGAGCCGACAGAATACTTTTAGTGCCATAAGACTCTTGGACTACTGCATACTAAGCAGCCAGATAAGGTGCCACTCAAATGCTGTGATGGGCCTCCGCGTCAGGTACTCGTGTCTCCCGGGTGCTTCTGATTTGGCCCTGCAACTGAAGCCCCGTCCACAAGACCTTGGTTGGCCAATCCACGGTCGCAATGGCTGTCTCTTAGACCGGGCATGCATCATCCCGCCCAAGGCACCAACTGCCAGACCCGATCTTTTCTGGCCAGTCATTGTCACCGCTTCGAGTGTTTGGATGGGTCCTTCCGATCTTTCGGTGTATATCCCAATGGTCTGTACTCCGTCCACGCAGGAGGTGGCCATTGCAGCCCCGGGGTTGCCATCATCACAAGGGTTATTGCGCAGTAGCGTGTTCAGGGGCAGCCAACCGACAGGCAAGAAAGATAACTAACTATGTACACTTGGTGTAGTCTACCTACCACGACGAAATTACTGAATCTTCCAAAAACTATTTTTCTCTCCTTCTTTGGCCTCTTGTCTTTCTTCTCGATAGTGATGAAATAGCTGCGAGTTATATAGCAATTATATAGCAACAATATACTTTGTAGTCAAGAGTTTATTTTTTGAATGTAGGATTTGACTTTCCTTTCGGACAGCCTCTCGATTTTCTCCCCCATGGGAAGTTTAACCTTTCCAGTTTGCCCCCCCTCTCTTCCCCCAGCTGTAAGGTACTTGGGTATTTCGGTGACTATTGCAGATATTAACCCATCAATACGTGGGTTGGACCAACGTCATCCTCCTGGTACCAGCCACGAGTTCCTTTCCCTTTTTAACCTCTATCCCTCAAATTTGGTTTAGGGTGCTTCATCAATTCTTCACTTGATATTTTTCCTTAAAATATTATTATCATTTTTTTATCTATTGCCTACCAATATCTGGCTCTTTACTTGAAGTTTGAAACTACTATCGATCAGTAAGAGAATCTCTTCCAGCATTCATTCTTCAGGAAGGGAGTAACATGCTAAACCGTCCTTACCTGTTTTTATTACAGACATTATCCACTATCCTTTTTTTTTCTCATTACTATTATTTTTATTCCCTTCCCAAAAATCCAAGGGCATCAATCCACCTGCCACTTATCTGGTTGTCTGTGCACTAAAACGATAGGCTTTCCATAATCCCATAAGCACTCTGAAGCCACCCAGTAACTATTTCGGAGCCTTGCAACGCTATCTCCACTACCGACTCCCCCCCTTAAAAAAAACGGAGGCTTCTTAGCCTGACACACAGCCGCGCTTGCATAACACCGTCCAGGAATGTGTCGTCGCTGCGACATTCAAGTCTGAACACCTCCAACACCGTGCGGACTCGCGCTCTCGTGTTTCTTTGATCGCTATTACCACTTCTTCGGGAAACCCGTCAAGCGGACGCAAATTCTTTGTTCTTCCCTGTCCCTGTTCCTGTTCCCTTTATTTTTATTCTTTTTTAGCATCTTCATTATCGCTTTGGGATTAGCTAGCAAATTCGCCGACACCTACTCGTCCCCTTGGTACGCCGACCGCCCTCTTCAACACCGCTCAGACACACAAATCGAGAATCTTAGGCGAGCGTCTATTTTTTTTTTTGGACCACCTCTGTCACCACATTTAAGTCACCAGGAGCAACAGTTCGCATCGCTGTTCGGTCGAAATTGTCGTGGGAGGGGATAAGTAACAACCGGAGGGGGAGTCTCCATCTAACATGAGGGGCGGCGCAATCTGGTATGTGTGTGGTGACTTTATTTTTTTTTTTTCTTATTCGAGTCGAATCCTCAATCGACTGTTCACTATCTGCTCCCCTCAAGAGAGCTCATTTGCCCTGAGACTGCTGGCTATTCTTAGGGGAATGGTGTTGCAATGCTCTTCCCTGGGGTGTAGTAGCTTTATCCAACAGATCCCTACCCATGATTTTGTACCCAGTGCACCGCTTCCCCTGCCGTGATTCTCTCAGGAACGCGTCTTGAATTTCCATCTAGCTAACCACTATGCGACTCTACATTAGAACCATCGCCCCGACATATCCTTGCAGAAAAGCAACAGCCCCCTTCAACTGTGCTCCGCGAGTCCAACATATCCGGAAATATTGGCCAAGGCTGGTCCGGTTCCAATCATTTCCTTATCAATATTCATACACCACTCAAATATCGGGTATTCGCATTTCTTTTGCCAAGGGAGCGCTAGGATATTTATGCTCCCCGAGACCAATTCTTCGTGGCTCTCTATCTGAAAAAGGAGTAAGTTCTAGAATCAGGAGCTTTGCCGGGAGCCGGATCATATCCAAATTTAGCACCATCCATGAGACCTTATGGATGCTAACCTGTTTTCGCCCCTAGGTCCTTTTTCATCGTCCACTTGGTGTCGCAGCCAATCCTTGACGTACACTATTATTTTTCCTCAGCCCAGACCGCGTTCCCGGTTCAACTTTTCAGGGTCACCTGCTGACCCGCGATTGACACTTAAGATGCCATCGAGACAGTCCACTGTTCCGAATTTAGATCTTAGCACTTCCACTCTGCAGGCGGATGCGAAGATCTCGTCTCCACTGACGCCCGGTGCCCAAAGCTCCGAGGGGCCAAGTCCCCTGACACCCCGTTCCCCCAAGTCATCATCGAGCTCGCCCTTTTTCAAAGGGGCCACTATCAGACCCGTCACACAAGATTCAAACAGCAAGTCGAGTAGCCCTACGTTCCCAGCAACCTCTCCGGGTATTGCCCCTGCAGAACCAGCTACTCCGGGTATCACGGCTATACCCCAGTATCCTCCTTCCCCGAAAGACACCCCTAAGCACACGCGTGATCAGTCACGCTCTTTCTTTGCGAACCTCAAAGCACCCAAGTCATCACATAGGGCCCAACGCTCGGATAGCTCAGGGAATTCGGGCGAAAAGCCCAAGAGCCGCGGTAGTTCCAGAGATCGCAAGACTCAGATCTCAACAAAACTATACGAATCAACTCCTGATCTGCCAGGGGCTATTGAGCGGGCAGCTCAAGAAGAGAATCGTAAGTGAATACATCCAGCCATACATCTGTCTCGTGCGCTGACAAGCCCATTCAATAGGTGGTGATCGTGCTGAGGAGAAGTGTCCCCAACCAGCAGAGGTGAAGAAGGTGGGTACGGAGTCGGACGCCTTCAATCTAGCCAAGAAGAACAAGCCACGCTTCGCAAACCTTC